TTCAGCAAGTCACTTAGAATCTATAAGCTCAACTTTTGTCAAATGTGAATAATATATGTGTCCTATAAATCTCGCATAATCTTCAGGACAATAAAAGAGATTATAAATTGTCCTCATTTTGCAAATGACATGCAACATAAAATTAATAGACCTAAGAATAATATGTTCTTGTTTTGCAAATTAAAAATTATGACAATATTTATTTATAAACTATATTACATATCACATATATATCTGTATATCTATGCATATATCTACATCTGTCTATCTGTCTGTCTACCTATCTATCTACCCATCTACCTAATCATCTATCCATCTATCTTTATTGGTTAGGATAAAGGGCAGAATAAATGGAAGGCCAGAAGCAGAGCAAAGAGACCTCCATTGACGGTTAAAAGAATGTATAAAAGGGATGAACAGGAGATATGAGAATAATTCATAACACCAAAGTGATGTCTTCATTGCTATCATTCTAGTTTGTGTGGATGAATATGGAAATTAGAATAGGGTTCCATATTTACTCTCGTTGGCATGTTGTAATGCAAAGAGATTGTAAGACTAAGTACTTAAAACTCATTTAATGGCTTAAAAATTTGAGTAGAACAAGATTGCTATTCTGTTTCTACTAAAGGGAGTAGAATATGACCAGGGTTTTCCGTGCATATTTTTGTCATCTGACCATCAGATGATTACTATTAACAATCATTTTGTAGGTTTGGCATTTAAGAGAAGAACAAACTTGTGCTCAGAATTCATATCTATCATTAGGTGATAATAAGCAGCAGGTGTAACGATGGACACCTTGTGCATTCCAAATGCAAGGAGGGTCAAGAACTTTTACAACTAGAGTTATGGTTCGATTAGGACTGTGTCCTTGGGCTGCAGGTAACTTTATGTTCCTCCATTAGGAGATTTACCTTGGATATTCTTGGAAGAGTTTTACTGCTGTTACCCAGGTAACTGGTGAACTTGCTGATGGTAATAAGGAAACTAACATTTGCATTACCTCTCCTAAGTGCTCAAGAATTTCCTCTTTGTGTTTACAAGCTTTACCCCATTAATCCCTTAGACTATCCCTGTAAAGTTGATATAATTACAGCTATTTTTCTGGAGAAACTGCACTGTAACATCATGCTGGAAACTCTCTAGCAAAACTGCACTAATTTTTAACAGATGTTGGTCTGCAGTGTGACAAAACATACTCTCTCTGAAGTGAGGCCAGCTACCTTTCTCCTTCTCCTTTCACAGTTTCCTTTGTGATGGCCACTGTGAATTGTATCTGACTTACACTAGGAGCCAGGCTAAATGGGAGGAGGTTGCTCATTAACTACAGTGTGTGATGAAAATATGATTCCCTTTTAATATGTCTGAAAAATATATTCTTTTTAAGTATAAAATTTTAATTGTTGCATAGCACTTTTGTGGTATAAATGATAAAGTTGTTGAGGTGTTAAGGATACTGATGATGGAATTTAAAAGTGGTAAAGCATTATGCAAATAAAATTAACTTAAAAAACACATTTATCAAATGCCTACTATGTGCCAGGGGGCTCTGAAAGGACTGAAGATAACAACGGTTAACAAGACATGTCTCACACGCAAGAAACATATACAGTGTCATTGTTGTTGCTATTGTTGTATACTATTAGCTATATTTCCACTCATTTGACTTTAATGCTCTACAGCATTGGATGTGAAGTTACAAAGATGCAGCACAGCGTTTTGGGGTTTTTCCTTCACTTTGGTCCTTGATCACGTCAATCACACTTATGCAAATGACTCCCAAATTCAAATCTCAGCCTTTCTCCGTGAGCTCCAGTCTTGTGTTTACAAAGTACTTGCCCAACCTCTAAATAACCTGCTAGCCACTCAAACTCAATCTGCCCCAAATGGAGTCTCATAATCTCCTTCTCTCCAAACCTAGTTAATCAACCATAAAAATATAGGTTCAATTTTGGGTTCTTGTTGTCAGCTCAACCAGCTGTTAAGTCTAGTGAGTTCTATCGTTTCCATATGTCCTTTCTGGCTTTCCTCATCTAGAATTGCCTCACACCAACCTTTCCTATTTCTTAGTGATTTCACTTTCTTTCTAGGTATGGTTCCGATCATGTCGACTATGCTCAGAAACACTGGCACTCAACAAAATGTACTAAAATTCTTCAGTCTATTGTTGAAAGCCTTCCACCATCCGGCACCAACTTCTCATCTGGCTTGTCTTCCATAGCTCCTAATGTACAGACCACACAGGAAAACTGTTTTTAGAACATGCCAGCACATTGCTTCTTCCTGTTCCTCCACCTAGACCCTTCCACTCTCCACTCACATGGCAATCCCTACTCATCCTTCCAGGCTAATCTCAAAGTGTATTAATTAATTCCATTAAGCATTTCAGATTCTACCCAGGTATAAGAGCAGTTCTAACTCATCTTTAATTCTAGGACCTTTGACTTGTAACATATGTGTGATTCTTGATACTTTTAACATGCAATTAAAGGTATATGTTTATATACCACATCTCTCTTAGCAGATTTGAACTCAAAGCAAAAACACGTCTGATTTGTATCTGTATATATGGAGAAATACATATCTCAATATTACAGATTCAGAAAAGTACATAAATCACAAATGTACATCTGGATAAATAGATATTCACAAAGCTAGCATATCCATATAGCTAATATCCAGATTGAAAACTAAATAAATTAGCAAAACACCAGAAGCCACCTCGTGTTCCCTTTCAGTCACTACCCTTGCCCCGATGGAAATCTACAGTCCTGATTTGTAACAACATAGCCTAATTTTAAACTTCATATAAATGGTATCAAATGAATGTACTATTTTATACCTGGCTTCTTTGATTCTAGTTTACATTTATGAGCATGTTGTTTCATGTACTTGTAGTTTCTAGAGTCTCATTATTGTATCATGTTTCACTGCATGAATGTATCCCATGTTGTTTATCCATTCTTCCGTAGAATGGCTTGTTTCCAGTTGTGGGATATTACAAATTTTGTTGTTTTCCTGAGTCAGTCTTCAGGTGCACATATATAATGCATTTCTATTGGGTATATAGTGTCTGATGTATTTTTTGTTGTTGTTGTACCTCAGAGTATCCAATTCAGTGCTGCTATTTGAAAAAAAATGAATAAATAAATAAATAAATACAGTATATCTTTTCTTCTTAAATTGATTTTAATTTGCCAATGCACTATGCATTTTTGTTTCTTTGGCATCAATGCTTTGTTCAGAATAAATGTGTAAAAAAACTGGATTAATATTATTTTCTTCCTGGTCCTTGAAGGTGTATGTCATAGGTTAAGACTTTTTATTACTTAGGATTTGTCAGATGCTAAAGGAATATGGTTCCAGTTGTACGTGTACCCAGGACAGAGCTAAACTTGAATGAGATTTGTAGTGAGTGGCTAAACCTGGCCCAGCACTTTATCAGAGTGCAAAAGAGACGGGTTGGGTATGGAGTCAGTTCTAATTAAGGTTCTGAAAAAAAGAGTAAAATAAAAACAATAAAATCTACATTTAGAATCAGATAAGCTTTTAAAGTTATATATTAATAAACTAGAGAAACTTTTTGTGTGTTTTTTCACTGTCTCATACCTCTAATAAAGTGATTCAAATTGCTTTAGTTTCTTCCTTCATCAACAGAGGAAACTGCATACTTAATGCTATGAAAACACTTCACCTAAGAAGAGTGAGGCTCCCTCAGGTAGCAAAATGAACATATATTGTTAATATAATATGGATTTTTCTGTCTCTCTGTCTTTCTCCTTCTCTCTTCCCTCTCTGTCTCTCCTTCCCTCCCTCCTTCCATCTCTCCCTCCCTCCCTTTTTCTCTTTTTCTCTGTTAGTTTAGTCTCCCTAGAAGTAGACCTAATACAAGGATTTGAATGCAAGGACATCTTTGAGAAGTGAATGGAACAGTGACAGGAGGGTGGAGAAATGATACATAGAGGACAGCTCAGTAACACAGTGAGTGACTAGAGCTCAATCCAGTGAGGTAAATTGGGAAATGATACAAAACAGGAAATGATGCAAAACAATTCATACTTATCCCATCCAAGGGGTGAGGGAGGTGGAGTATTTCTATACTAACCTGAGAGTCAGTGATAAAGATATTTTCACAGGGATTGTTAATCCCTGGCACTTCTAGCCTTTCAAGCACATATGCATCACAGCCTTCCACATTTCCAGAAAGTGACCTCAGCACAGATACAGATACTAGCAGTTCAGACTCAGTCAGGACCCGCTAAAATACTAAGGTCTGGCAGAATATGGACAGAAGGCTGACAGTAACTATTATTTCTTTCTTACACTAGTTCTTTCTTTCTCTTTGTCTCTTTAATTCTTTCTAACACCATAGCCACCATAAAAGGCTTTAAATTCACCTTGATACACTCATCGAGCATTAAAAATAATTAAAGCTAATGAGATCTAAACAATGGGAAAATAAAAGTTTAAAAAAATAAAAAGAAAGAAAGAAAGAAAAAAAACATGAACACAAGGTAGGGTTAGTACCAAAATACTTTTCATGCAAGGGATGAGCCACAGGTACCCTTGAAAGCTTTCTAGACACCAACACCAAAGGTAAACATGATACAATTTATATTATCTATGGCAGAATGAAGCAATCCTGTTTCCCAGGAAAAGCACTTTTTACTAATACCAAGATCATAGAGACTTTCTACACCAGGCCCTCACAAAGTGTGTGCACTATTCGGTGTGGTAAACAACGTCATTGTCAAACTTCCTAGAGAAATAGAAGATGTACAAAGCTGGAGGGAAATCAAATTTACGGCCTTCGGAGCAACACTGAAAGCAAGCCTGAAAGGAATCATGTCTCCTCTGAAAACTATTCTCCAGCTTCAGAATCAAACCTTCAGGAAAGAGCTGTCACAACCAGGAATCTCTAATGGCATCATTAAGAAGTTGATAATTGGCCTGAAGATGCTTCAAGAAACCAGGAACCATCTCAATGACACACTGACCTTTGAAGAGCCTCTGGAGAAAGATCAGGGGCAGTCCAAGAACTGAGGAAAACAAAATACAAGGATCAAAATCATTCTTGCTGTCATCAATGGCTATCCAAGCATGACTGCTCCAGGGACTGTCACCACTCTGGGCTTCAGGGGCAATGAGAAAGAAAGAGCTGGCAGCCATCTGCCCCAGAAGGAGTAACACAATTCCTCCAGCAATTAGACCCCATAGCCACACTGTTTAATTAAACCAACAATACAACTGGGTGATAGACCTTTCATCCCTGTCACGAAAGTTCTCCCCTCAACCTGACCCTCTAGTCTTTAGAGTTGCTGTCATCAAGATGTTCTACAGTTCCTTGATTCTAGCTAGCTATACCCTATGTTTACATTTTCAAACTATTGACTCTGCTTTCTTGAAACACAACTCTATAATAAACAAGCTCACTTTTATCTTTAATCTTTTCCCTTAGCTTTTTCTTTACTTCCTTGCTTTAACGAAAACATTACTTTCTCCTAAAGATATAGTTTCCCGTGATAATTCTGTCTTCTATCAAAATTCATATATTATAAATTTGAGGAGAACGTTAGGGTTTTTGGTTTTTTTTTCATTAAGCCTTGCTAATCACAAGAGTGTTAATCCCCTGTATAAGTCAAGATAGGCCTGAATAAGCCACAGGAACAAAGACATCTGAAATTTCACGGTGTGACACAGAAGTTTCTTTCTCACTCAAAAAACAGTCTGAAGAGAAGGTCAACTGACCTTCCTCAAATAGGCTGCCTTTTTGTGGTTGTTCCAATCATCTTTTGACATTAAGGTCATCTTGGTGTCATTCAGACAAAAAGAAGAGACATATATTGAGGAGAATACACACTATGTAAGTATTCACCTCAGCCAGAAAGTGACATGTTAGTTCTGTTTACATCTCATCAGCCATAAATCAGTCATGTGGCTCCAACCTAACAGAAATAGTTGTTTTGAAACATAGACTTTTAGGGTTCCCATGAAGAGGAAATAAGACTGTGGGTATCCACCACAACTCAGTATTCTGGTCAACGAACAGACATTTTGTCCTTTCTCCAACACATAGAATACACTCTTTATTCCTAAGAGGGATAGGCCAAATTACTATCTGGTCACTGTTTCTAACTCAAAATCAGGTATTCCAGGAGATTCCCAGTCCTCTACATCAAGTCCACATGCAACTCTTTTTTCATTTAGATAAAATATATACCTCACTTCAATATAAAATATTGAAGTATGAAAAAGATATCCACATCAGACACTTTCCCTCAAAAAGAAAGGGGTCAGGAGATAATGGAAGACACATGGCAGTCACAGGTTCATAGTAATTTTGAAATTCAGGGGACCAGGCACTGGGAATTATCCTTGTCTGGGAGATAGTCAAGATTCCATGAACTGGTTCTACTCTTTGGACGAATCTCTTTTGGTTATAGCTCTCCATGACCTCACGTTCCTCTCTCAGTAAGTGTTCTCTTTCCCACTATCCTACATGGCCACATCTTAAATGAGGATTAGCTAGTGTGACCTCCTTGAGGCAATGGCTGCCTCTTGATTGTGGGAAACTAGGGAAGTTGTGGGAAACTGGAAGTTGTTTTCATAACTAGAACAGCATTACAGATTTTTTACCTGGTCTTGAGGTTTTCCTGGCAATACATTTTTTTTATTTTTCAAAACTTATTAGGCTTGGGTTTTGTCTTCTTCTAGTCAATTCATGGCCCAATAAACACATCCAAAGTTCTTTCTAGATATAATTGTTGAGCTGTGACTTTCTCTATGTTATAATGACTATTACCTTGATGATCTCTTGAAATAAACATGAACACAGACTATACACTCTATTTCATCTTCACCCTAAACCATTCTGGTAAAATGAAAAGTTGAACTGGATTTTGACACTCAAGAAAATTTTAATTCCATTTCTTACTATCTGGAGTCTAAAAAGATGCTTTTCTGACCCTACGTGACCCAAATATTTTTGACTCCATATATTCCCTTTCATTTCCACTAGAAAACCAGACAATTTTTCATCATGTAAGCCCTTTCTTAAAACATTTTGCAAAATGCAGTCAATAACAGCCAACTCACATTAATTATATGATTTTTTCAAATCTCTTCCACTAAACTTGCCAGCTTAGTTAGGCAAATCACCTGCTTTCAAAGTGTTACCAGAAGTGACAATTTTCCAAATGTTTTGCCTCAACAAAAGATGAGTTAACTTTTTCCAGGCTTCCAATAGCATGTCCTACCTGCTTACTCTCCTACTAATAAGCCAGTGCCATATATTTGTGGAATTCTTTGTGTGTGATATAAATTCACTTCAGCTCAAGATCAAACCTGAATAAGTATTAAAGTATTAAAATTCAGTAACTTAATACAATAGAAGTTTAGTTCTCACTCATGCCATATTCAGTTGTGAAAGGTAAGATTTCCTGGCAGCTTTCCTCTAAGTGTTCACTCAGATCCTGTTATCTTCTATCACGTCTCTGTCATCTCAGAATCCTTTTTCCATCCACAAAAAAGCAAGAGAGATAATGGCCGAGGAGATTTCAACTGGTTTGAGAATTCAGGCCTGGAAATAGCCTACATTATTTCTGCCCACATTTACTTGACCTATTAATCATATGACTCCTTCCTAATTGCAAAGGAGGTTGGGAAATCTAGTCTTCTCCTACTCCTAGAAAAAGGACATAAAATTGATGAGATCCAACCAGTTCCTGCCAGAGTTCAGGCTTCTGGTCAACAAATACCTGCCTAAATGCATACAAAATTCTCACTCATAACCAAACAACCCGAAGTCTCCATCAGCCACTCCTTCTGGCTAAATTTCTGGAATAAAGAATGAGTCTCAGCCTTCTCTCTCCTCTTTGGATATGGTTTATCCTGATCCCATAAACTTTGGACTAAAATACATACATATACATACATACGTATGTATAAAATACATGCATATATATGTACATATGGATGTATAAAATACATACATATAGTAGTGAAGCAGGGACAGGATATCAGCAGTAAATATTCCCATTTGGAAAGGTGAAGAATAAAAATCTCACCATTCTCACTGGTCCAAACAATTTTGCACTGTTCCTGGCAGACACAGTGAAAGTCTCTTCCACAGGGTTTGTGATTCTAAGTCTCTGGGAGACATCTCTTGTCCATTGGTCTCCATGGGCCTTGGATCCCTCCCTTTGGGAGACTTTTTATTCTTAATCACATCACTGGTCTGTCTAATAAATGCAGTTAGAACATTTCTCCTCTGAGAAGTGACTCAAAAATCAATCTATTTCCACCTTTTGTTCCTTACATCTTACAGTTTTAAGTTAATTCTGAAAACATCCAGCAGAGGCAGATGGAGGGAAGACATCAGAGGGTAGATATACTGGTTATTTCATTATCTTGTTAAAGACTGACAACATCACTTCTTTTTCATACCAATGGCCGGAACTCAGTTGCATGGCCCCAATATAACTGCAAGGGAGGATGGGGACTGTTGTCTTCTGATGTGGCCAAGAAGAAGAAATGGGATTGGTTAGTCTCTGAAACTCTTCCCCACTCTCTTATAAAAAGCTGCTCCTTGAGAGCTATTGTTATTTGACTCTATGATTTTCCTCTCTCCCAGAACCATCATTCCCAGTAGTCCTATTCTTATCTGCCCTGCATCAAAAAAGTTGGTATTTTGAAAACTCTTCTTTTCTACCTTTATTGTCATTCACATGGTTAACTCATCCATCCTCAACTTGATTTCCTCAGCTCTGATGATCTCTTCCAACATGATGCCTTAAGCTCCTACTCAGATTCACATCCTAGAACTTATTATCATCACCTGAAACAGCTCCGTTTCCAAAGTACTAATCCCACTCTCTCTATGCCCCCACCCAACTCAACATTGTGGTCCAAACATCATCTTTATCTTTATTACTTTAAAAACTTCTTCATAATTCATCATTTAAAATCCACTCTGAACACTTTTAATCAGTCTCTATGCTCATAGACCCCTGTTACTCCAGCTGACTTAGTCAATTGACCCCTTTGTACCTAGGCTAATTCCCTCTCCTTTTCCCCAACGCAATAACCTTCCCCTTTCACTAATTCTCTCATTATCCAGTTTAGTTTCTTTGATTCACCATTTCAAAAACACTCTTGGCAAAAACTTCCTTTCTATTATTCATTAAACCCATTTTGAAAGATACCAACCCTGAATGAAATCAAATATTCCCTTTCTCTCTGCTGCCATCCAAGCAACTGGATACTACTTGACAAAACGGTACAAAAGAGTATATTGATGCTATAAGATTTTACGATCTTCAAATTAAGAGGCCCTAATGCTTGCTTTAAATCAGACATTTCTGTGGTCCACAAATCTTGTCCACTTTCCACAACAATCATTTTTAAACTTTTGTGCTCCCCACAGAACTCTGACTATCCAGCTTCTCGCCCCACTCTCATTGCCTAAAAAAAGAGAAATGTAAGCCATAACACAGGAACCCTTTATCATCTCCCTATCAGCCTCAGAAGACTACTTTCTTCATTCCTGGAGCCCCTTCACCTCTCTCATTATAACTGAAGAGATATACATTCTCCAGTATATGACTTACCTATATTTCAGTCTTCATTCTCATCTGATCTCATAAGAAATTACTCTCTTCTCCCCCTCTGTTATTACTCACCCCAATACTTCACTTTTCTCAATAGCATTTAATTCCACTTAAGTTTGTCTCATCTGAAAAATACAGTAAATACATTAAAAATTCTCATTTATATCCAGAGCTTCCATCTCCATCTTTGTGTCGATGACTGCTAATTCTCCTCTGAGCTTCAATACACAAACCCTTCAGCCACCCTCCTGACACACAACAAGCAGCTTGAACTGAACACACCCAAAACTATAAACACTGGCTATTTTACACTCTAAAATCTTGTTTTTCCCCCTCTCATAGTGAATGACACCACTGTTAATCCTTTTCAGAATGTCAAGTGCCTGGGAGTCATCTTTGACCACACCCTCTCTTTTTCCACCTCCATTAACAAATCCTGAATGCCCCATCTCCTAAATACACCTCAAATACATCCCCTTCTATTTCCATTACCAACACTAGCCTGGACCAAAGAACCTCACATCCTTCTGGACCATCAAAACACTCCCTTTCCTCTTTCAGTTTTTAAATTCCCACTCAACCCCATTTAATCAATTCTCTTCCCTGCAAGCAGAGTGGTAGTTCCTAAATGCAAATCTGGTGATACATCACATCTGTGTAAAATCCTTCAATGAATTGTTTTTGCTCTTTGCTCTTGGGGTACAATTAAAATAGTTAATATGGCTCAACAAGGCCTGGGCCCTAAATACTGCTTCAGTATCATCTCACACCATGACCCCCTCAGCTTTCAAAGCTCTAGCTATATAGACCTTCTTTTTAATCTTCAAATAAAACATGCTCTCTCTCACCACAGGGCTTTACACATGCTGCTCTATTTTTGAATATCAGCTCTCATAACCATTTTTCGCCATAACCATTTTTTACCCCTTTAGTCCTCAAATCAAATGCTATTTCCCCAGGAGAGCCTCCCTTGACATGTCAGACTAGGTCAAACACCCTTTTTCATACTAACATTGTATATTGTTCATTTTCTTCATAAGATTTATGATTTCACATTTATGTATATGATTTAAATTTATTTATGCTATTATTTCATTGGAGTCTATCTCACTCTCTCCCAAAAACTCCACAAGTATAAGGACTATGCTTTACTCTCTGATGTGTATTTCCAACACCTAGCACAGAACAGGGGTATAGGGAGTACTCAGTAAATATTGTTGAATAAAATATATTAATTAATTTCAGGATGGCAAGATAAAGAGCAAAACAGTGTGTCCCAGATAGGCAGCTACCTTATGCAGGGAAGAACCACGGAAGAATAGATGGAGAGTATACACATTATGTATTATTCAACGACCCCCTATAATATGTCCCTCAATTTCATTTTTTTTAAATAGTGGATGACAGTTCAAGATTATCTTCCTTGAAAAATAACTAGAGAGAAAATATTGTTACCATTTTAATACAGATCCTACCAGGCTTGGGGTTAATTAATAAACTGTACACACCAGGAAGATAAGTATAGATATAATCATGAAAACTTAATTTACACTATCTCAGACAAGTCTACTGAGAAAATGCTGAGTGAGACCGGCACCATATTTCAGGAACTCCAGGTTGAGGGATCTCATGGTTATGTTAGGATATGTTCTCCTAGAATTATCTCTTTCCAGGGTGAGTTTCAGAGAGGTCATATAATGGAAGGGATGGGGTCCTCTGTCAATCAAAATGGTGATATAACAGGATAAACTCTTGATTAGAAATTAAAAACATGTTTCAGTCCTGGCTTTGTCACAGTGTGATATTCTGTACATTGAATAAAGTCTCTGAAACTCAGTTTTGTGCCTTTCAAAATGTGAAGGTGAATTTATAAAGTCCCATTCACATCCAAGAATCTCAGACTCTTACTTCAGCATCCTTGTTATGTTTCAGTAACAACCACGATGGGCAATTCAGAATTCATCTGAACACAGGGTTTAATCAAATACTGCAGGGTCAAATATAAAATCCAAAAAGTGAGAAAACACACACACACAAAGAGAAAACAAATAAATAAAACATCAAACCCTTCAATAGTTTCTTATTCTTGGCCCACCTAGCTCTTTTGTTGCTTGATATTCTAAAGAGACATACTTTATCCAAGTTTTATGCTCTTGTTAAAAAATTAATATGAATATACTAAGAATTTTCCCATTGGGTTTGCAATTATTATTTCCTACAACGTTTGGCATGCACATGGGTGGAATGAAAATATAACTTGTCCTGATTTGTTTTCCCTTTGGTGGGTCTGGATAGTATCCCAGAACAATGAAGCACAAAAGGTTAAAGAGAGGTAGTAAAATGAAATATAGATGGAAGTTAGGAATTGCTCATACAGCTTGGGAAGAGTTTAATCTCTAAAAATAAGAGAGCCTCCTTAAAGCAGTAGCTGCTTATTGGGCTAGATTGTTAAAAAGAAATACTATAGTTGTGTCACAAAACCTGGAATAATAAAACAGCATTTCCTGAAACTAATAAAGTACACTGTGGTGTCCGAATATGGGAAGATTTGCTAAAGACAGCAACTGCTATTTAATGGCTAAAAAAGGGAAGGGGACAGAGAGGAGGAACCTTTTTGTAGCAGAAGTCCACATTTTGAAGTTTCAACTCACCTCAAGGCAAGAATAATCCTCATTCTCCAGTGAGGGTAAATAAGGGAGTCTTCATCAGTTAGATTCTGGTAGATAAGTAACCACGAAGTACCTACAACCACAAAGGTGTTTTAAGAATAAAATACAGTTAAAGGAATTAGAACAGATTCTAGCTTATAGTCAGCAACTCATAAATATCAGTTATTATTGATCTTTATAGTCAGGGCCTTCTAAATATAACCAACACGGTAAAGAATCTAATAATACGGTTATTCTTCATTAGTCTCAGATTTCATATTTGCAAATTCACCTACTTGCTAAAATTTATTAGTAACCCCCAAAGCAATACTCGGGGTGTTTTTGTAGTCATTCAAGAACATGCATGAAGGAGTGATAAGGCACAGTGGAACCCAATGTACAGAGTCCCAGCTGAGGTCCAATGAGGCGATGATAATATGCCCTCTTGTTGCAGTTCTCATACTGTAAAAAAGTCTCCTTTCTGTGGTCTACTGAGGCCACATTTTCACATTTTTGTGCTTTTTCTTGCTGATTTTGCTGTTTAAAATGGCTCCCAAACATAGAGCTGAAATGCTGTCTAGTGTTTCTAAGTACAAGAAGGTTGTGATATGCCTTCTGCAGAAAATATGTGTGTTAGATAAGCTTCATTCAGGCTTCATCCAATGCTAATGACTCAATATTTAACAAGGTGTCTTTCAACAGAGGCACACATAAAACAAGGTTATGTATTGATTGGTTGACAAAAAATATTGCAAGCTAAGGCTGGCATGATTCTAAACCTGTATTCCCCCCAGGAACAGTATTTGCTAACTCAGTGTTCATGGCAACTTTATAGAATATAACTACTACAAATTAGAATCAGTTTTAATAATAAAAATAAAATAATAATAACAACAACAACAATAATAATGTACTATTTCTTGAGTTCCAGGTGTTTCACATTTATTCTCTCACAGGCAACTGCTGGCCATCTCAAACACCCTCAGATCACTGCCACATTTGCCTGAAGCCGCGGCAGACAGTTCTCGTATGCTGATAGCTTTCTGCCTCAAGAACATATATGTCTCTGCCTCGGCCTATGAGGTCTCTCTGCTGCACCTGAGTGCAACTCAGAAATGTGAGCAAGTTAAAGACCCAGGGGCAGATAACCAGTGAGAAATGGGAGACTGTGGGTAAAAACCCTGGCATCCCAGCAATCCTGTGGGACAATGCTGAAGTATAGTACATCTCAGAATTCCCCAGCAGAATTTAGACAGTTTCCTGTAGGGATAAGCAACCTTGGTGGCCAATCTTTCATGTTGACTAGGCTTATCTGTATAATCAACAGGATATTAAGGAAGTGATATTGTGTGACTTCCGAGGATATGTCATGAAAGATATTAGGGCTTCAGCTTTGTCCTCTCTTAGGTTACTTGCTCTGGGGGAAGAGAGCTGTCATGTGTTGAAAATATTCAAGCAGCCCTATGGTACATATTATAAGGAACTGAGATCTACTCCCAACAGCCAGCATCAACATATTAGCTACGTGAGTAAGCCATCTTGGAAGCAGATCCACCAGCCCCAATCCTTCAGTAACTGTATCCCTGGCCAACATCTTGATTTAAACATGTGAGAGCCTCTATGGCAGAACCACCCAGCTAAGCCTCTCTCAAATTTCTGATTAACAGAACCTTTATGACATGATAAATATTTATTGTTGTTTTAAGTAACTTAGTATTGGGGTAATTTGTCACACAGCAGTAGATAGCTAACGTACCCAAACACTAATAATGATTTCACTGGTCTTGGTCATTTCCCTCACCCACTTTCCCCACTCTCACATGTATGCTTCATAGGATCATCTCAAAAATAAACTATACGTGCCTATGTCGTTATTTCAGGATTTGCTTTTGGGAGCTCAAACTTTGACTCATGTATCGAAAAGGTCCTTGAAAGCAAATACTTAGAATGGGATCCTGGGATTGAATCACTCACTGTCAATGGATTCCATTTACGGTGCTAATAGGGTGACGATATCTGGAAACATGTGATTTCATAATTACTAAAACTCTTACTTTTGGTTTATTAAGAATTAGATACATGTAGAAAGGAATATATTGGCTTAGGTTGTTCTTCATTAGTCTCAGATGTCATATTTGCAAATTCACCTACTTGCTAAAATTCATTAGTAACCCCCAAAGTGACACTCAGGGTGTTTTTATAGTCATTCAAGAACATGCATGAAGGGGTGATAAGGCACAGTGGATACGGCACAGTTCTTGAATGATATTGGGAAAACCGGCTTTTGTTAATTGTCCTAGAAGCCTTGAAGAAGAATGGCAAACATAAATTAATCTGCTATTCTCTTCAAGTATTTTGTGAAAAACAGGAGGCATTCATGTCAAAATTTAAAGAGAATACCCTTCCCTGCAGCTAGAGTGTTCGGTCAAGTATTTGATCATAAGGATAGTAGAGCTATAAAGACTTAATACACTGGCAGCTCTCCTATGGTAAAGTGAAAGCCTTATTAGGGACATGTAATAGCATTAGATGAGGTGTATGTCTCACAAAATGATGCTTGACTTCTTTAATATCTACTCCTTCTTCCCTTCATTGCCTAACAACTAGAATCAGTCTATGAATAACACAGAGAAGTACAGTCTTACTTTGGTAAAAAATGTTTTATTTACCCAAGAACTACAGGATTTTGTTAATATGTACCAACAGTGACTAGTGAGACAATAATGGGAGTGGATCTTAAAGATGTTGCATCAGGAGTGTGTAATTTGAGGAAGGATGTAGGAGTTTATTGATATGGGAACACTCTCTTATGACCAAAATTTAATATCTTGGTAAGGACACTAGGATCAGATTCAAACATTAAAATGTATGGCTCCCATATTTTAAATAGAATAGTGACCTACAGGAAATGAGGTTTAGGTGCCAGAAATCCCTTGATATAGAATCTAGGAAGGAAACAGACAGGTGAGCATTAGAATAGATTTATTATGTGAAATCAGATAACCCACCAGCTGATTACTCCCTGGGAGCCCCAGAGATAACTCCATTTACTTAAGCAATAAAAATACACTAGTAAGGAGAGGGGCAATGGCTGCACTGAGAAGTGTAGTGGTGACTGTCCTCTATAGATAAGGATTAATAACAGAAGATGCTGTTATGGATCTGGGTTCACTGATATCAGTGGGGATGGCAGGACTCTGGGAGAGCAGAGGCAAAATGGTGACACATAACATTGAGGCAAGGTGGATGGATTACTGTCATAGGCAATAAGACGTGGAAACAAGAGGGCCTTGAAACTCAGGGAACTGTTGCAATAGCTAATAATCCAACATATTCCTAGAAATGAAACAGAAGGGCAGCCAACAAAGAACTACTTGACTTATATCAAAAGCTGGTGAATTCCATGACAGCAGCAGAAAATCATGATCTCTCACCTAGTTTCCAGATTTCTACCATTTTGAAACCCATCTATTGAAGAAGAGACTGGGCTTTCTTGAGGTAGGATCTTACAATGATAGAAGAATATGTATTAAATATTCTCTAAAACCCTCCCCAAACGGTCCTGTGGTCATTCTTCAGTGCAAAAGTATACTGCGGTAAAAGAAATATTTTTATCATCTTAGGCTTGTCAGAAACATAATGTTGATCTGAAAACCAGGAGATCTGAAATGCTAGCATGTATTCCTCTTAGAATGAAGGTGTATAGATATCTTTTGCTGAACCAAGATGGCAGAGTAGAAGGACGTGCTCTCACTCCCTCTTGTGAGAACACCAGAATCACAACTAGCTGCTGGAAAATCATCAACAGGAAGACACTGGAACTCACCAAAAAAGATACCCCAAAGACAAAGGAGAAGCCACAATGAGACAGTAGGAGGGGTGCAATCACAGTAAAATAAAATCCCATAACAGCTGGGTGGGTGACTCACAGACTGGAGAACACTTATACCACAGAAGTCCACCCACTGGAGTGAAGATTCAGAGCCCCACGTCACGTTTCCAACCCTGGGGGTCCAGCAATGGGAGGAGGAATTCCTAGTGAATCAGATTTTGAAGGCTAGTGGGATTTGACTGCAGGACTTCAACAGGACTGGGGGAAACAGAGACTCCACTCTTGGAGGGCACACACAAAGTAGTGTGCACATCGGGACCCAGGGGAAGGAGAAGTGACCCCAGAGGAGACTGAACCAGACCTACCTGCTAGTGTTGGAGGGGCTCCTGCAGAGGCGGGGTGTGGCTGTGGCTCACCATGGGGACAAAGACACTGGCAGCAGAAGTTCTGGGAAGTACTCCTTGGCTTGAGCCCTCCCACGGTCTGCCACTAGCCACAAAAAAGAGCCCAAGTAGGCTCCAGTGTTGGGTTGCCTCTGGCCAAACAACCAACAGGGAGGAAACCCAGCCCCAACCATCAGCAGTCAAGCAGATTAAAGTTTTACTGAGCTTTGCCCACCAGAGCAACAGTCAGCTCTGCCTACCACCAGTCCCTCCCATCAGGAAACTTGCACAAGCCTCTTAGATAGCCTCATCCACCAGAGGGCAGATAACAGAAGCAAGAAGAACTACAATCCTACAGCCAATGGAACAAAAACCACATTCACAGAAAGATAGACAAGATGAAAAGGGCAGAGGGCTATGTACCAAATGAAGGAAAAAGATAAAACCCCAGAAAAACAACTAAATGAAGTGGAGATAGGCAACCTTCCAGAAAAAGAATTCAGAATAATGAGTGAAGATGACCCAGGACCTCGGAAAAAGAATGGAGGCAAAGATCAAGAAGATGCAAGAAATGTTTAACAAAGACCTAGAAGAATTAAAGAACAAACAAACAGAGATGAACAATACAATAACTGAAATGAAAACGACACTAGAAGGAATCAATAGCAGAATAACTGAGGCAGAGGAATGGATAAGTGACCTAGAAGACAGAATGGTGGAATTCATGGTTGCGGAACAGAATAAAGAAAAAAGAATGAAAAGAAATGAAGACAGCCTAAGAGACCTCTGGGACAACATTAAACGCAACAACATTCGCATTATAGGGGTCCCAGAAGGAGAAGAGAGAAAGGACCCGAGGAAATATTTGAAGAGATTATA